ATGTGTGCTCATCCGTATTTAAAAATTTTAAAATTAAAATAAATAAAATTTCCATGCCTATATTTGGCCCCCCATTTTTTCAAAAAAATCATTTTCAATAATACATTATCCTATAAATAATTTTACAAGTAAAATTTCCCTTTGTTTTTAACAAGATTCTAAAATGCGTAATGCATGGTAATGTGTTACCGTCGAGTATCAAACATTAGAAGCATATGCATAATTATACATTGTCCAATTTTTAATATTATTTTAAATATTTTAAACTAATAAATAAATAAAATAATATTTCTTTGAATTTTTTACATATTCTTCAATTTTTCAAAAAAAATTAAAATAATAACTCAATCTCCCCTTTTTCATCCAAGTTATCTTTTGTATTCAATGCAAAATTATTTCCCTCGAGATCCCTTATTTAAACTTGAAAATATGTTCTCATCATCATAATCATCAACAGTTCAAGATTGTGCATTACTAGCATCACTTATTAATAGAATTAGAGGAAGATCGAAGGAAGAGTCTCGACGTAGATAGTTTGCAACTTTACAAAATTTTTTGTTTTGGTTTTTCATTTTTCTAAATGTTGAACTCCTACAGTTGTATATAATTCATGAGTTTGGGTGATTTGGGCTAATTTGATGTTTGTTGGGTTCAATTTGCTTTTTCCAAGTTATAAAAATGGACCAAACTTCGCTAGGCTAATTTTAACCCAATTTTTAAAGACAAATGCGTGTGTATTTTGATATTTAAGAGCGCATATGTAGTCAACGAAATGAATTGGCTATATTATCATGCGTGTACTCCATATGCGAGACGTTTCGAAAAAGCATCGAGCATATGCGGGTATATGCGAAACGGGGATTCATTGTTTAGAATTATGATTTTTAACGACACATTCTCTAACAAAATACTCTAAAATGTATTTTTGCCAAAAAAAAAAAAAAATGGAGGGGGAGGGGGAGCGGGAGAGGGAGAGGGAGAGGGAGAGGGCTCAAACAAGAGTGAAGGATACAATTCTGAAGTTGGTACCCTTTTATTTTCATTGAATTAATGATTTGGTCCCGAACTTTGTTGTTTAGTGGGATTTGTCCATATTCCCTCTTGCCAGCCAAACAAAAATCACAGTTATTATTCTCAATATAATCATCATTTTGACTCATAATAATTTTTAATATAATTATCACTATTTTATTTGTTAATCCCAAATAAAAATATATATTATAGTAAAACAAGTTGGTGGTGTAAAATCAATTAAACATTTTTGTGATGACCCCCTTCATTTTATGGATATTTACAAATAATTCCCCAACTCCTCAAATTCACTTTCTTAACTACTGATCTTGTAAAGTTCACTATAAATGGCATTTCTCTTATTTTCTTTTAATTCTAGATATATTTATTAGAAAGAATGATCTACAAGTAATCTAATACCTATGACATGACATATCAATTGATTGATCGATAAATTTAAGGTGAGTCTCAACTCTCAAAATTTGAATTAAATTTGCTACCCATCAATGAATTGATATGTCATTTTACTGGCACTTAACATAAACTAAACATCAATATTTAGCCCTTGTTTGAACCCTATTATGGGGAAAATGCATTTTTGAATATTGTATTGATGAAAAATGTGTAATTATAAAATAAAGAAAAATTTTGAATTTATATGTAATGTTATTTTATTAAAGAATGCATGATTAAAAGGATGTCAAAACATTGTTTAAGAATACATTTTTTCCCAATGAGTAGGACTCAAACAAGGGCTTAGTAAATCATTTTCTAGTATTTATTATATTTTATTTAAGAAAATTGAACACGATCGATACTATTATCTCAAGTTTATACATATCAAACATACGGTACACATTTTAGAAGATTATAAAAACACATTAATATATCGACCTAATAAACAACTTTACTAGCAAACTTTAGACATATCGAGTAAATGTACAAGAATATTGTACAAATTAACATAATTTATATTCTTTGTTAATTCTATACAATATTGTCCTTCAAAACTTATCAAACATATTGCTGACCTCCAATTTGGTGAGTTTGAACGTTGACGGGATTTTATTCATTGTGTCTCTTCACAAGGGCGAATCTAGTATCGAAGTTCAACTAGGGCGGAACTTCACCACTGATAGTCTACTATTGACCATTGACAATCAACTAACGTAATAGCTTGATCGTTTATTAAAATTTGATTAAATAATGCATTAAAACGTAAAAAAATATATACATATCAAAATATAATTCAATACAACCCAATGTTTCTCAATTAATTTTTTTTCATTTATCCTAATTTCCTAAACATAAATTCCCAAATCAATAATCATAATTCATAAAACATAAGTTACTTATCATAAATCACAATTCTCCGTAATAACTCACAATTTACAGACAACATTCATTATTCAACAAGTCAACACCATATTCTTCTGATTCTAGAAAAAAAAACAACAAAGAGAAAGAGAGTAAGAGAAATGCACTCACCAGTCACTAATCGAAGGCTGCTCAAGGCTCGAGCTCAAAGATTATGACTTTCTGAGACTAGAATGGCAGTTGGCAGAACACGCCTTTGGCTGTGCCAACGACTCCTCCTCGCGGCCTTGTCCTTGTCACTTGGCGTTCGCATCGCCAATCGGTAGCAGCAGTGCTGCCTCTGCTTCGAACGAAAATTATAGAATGGAGAAGGGAGGAAAAGGGTTTGCGCCTCCTTTGCGTTTTAGCTTCAGAGAATTAGAGATAGTATGGATTGAATTTGAATGGAATCGATTTGGTCATTTCATTCGGAGTCTTGAACCATTTGTTGTTGATTTGGGCATTTGGGGGAAAAATTGGGCATAATGTTTTTAAACAAAAAAGAGGCCCAATGTGTCAATTATTATCAACCCAAACAAAAAATAAAATAAAATAAATAAATAAATAATAAAAATTGGGTCATCTCTTCCTTTTCATCTTCCTCAGCTCTGTAACTACCATCTCCCATCTATTGACTGTTACCCAGCGGTGCTAAACATTCCGATGGAGCCAGCACGCGCGGCAGCTCCCCCTCGCCGTGTGCTGGCTCTGCCACTGCTCCTCCAAATAAAAAAATTTCCGATCATGTGATTTGGACATTAAAATGTCTTTGACAATCGCACCCTTAGTCTAATACTATTGTTCAAGCGTGCAAATAACTTATGGGTAGACGAACCGATCTATTGACGTTCGATTTTTGCCTAATAAAACTATTCCTTATCCGAACCCCAAAATAAAATAAAATAATAATAATAGTTTCAGTGAACCAACTAATATAAAGAGTTAATAGACGGTACCACATAGATGGTATTATGATAAATTAAACATTATTGTTTGCATTCAAAATATATTATTTTGCATAATTAATCGCATAACAAAATGTGGAAGTTGAATATGGGTTTAACCTGAATATTAAAAGATATGGTAAATCATATTCTTTAAAATAAAAATGCAAATAATCTACCAAACAGATCACGATGTTCTCTACCTAATAAAATCTACTATAAATTTTAAATCTAGGCCCTGTTTGACCCACATCCTTAAAAAAAATATATATATATATACATTCTTAAATAGTGATTTGATATCAATTCAATCACACATTTTTCAATAAAATAATATTACAAGCAAATTAAAAACTTTTTATTTTATTTTTTAACCACGCATTTTCTATCGATATACAATTCAAAAATGCATTCGTATGAAAATAATCTAGCTCAAACAAGGGTTTATACTAAATATTTTATAAGGCATATTCTAGTGTTCACATGGTATTAGACAATATGATTAATATTTTCACTTATTTCTATTTCTTAACATTGTTTAGTAAAATTAATTTCTTTGTCAATGCGTCATAAATACCAATTTATTATATAATGAAAAATGAAGCTTGATAAGCTTTTTAACGAAAAGAAACTTTACCAAACAGAGCGCTAGACAAGAAAGCATAAATGAAGAGTTACTTAAGCTAAAACAACAGATTAATATTAATTAATCCATTTGAACAATCGACCATGGTTGTCATTGTCAACACACCAAAAGGATTCTTGTCGTTTAGGCTTTAGGGTTACAGTCTCCCGTAATTTCAGAAAAAGGCGGGGCTAAAAATGACAATTCACAACTGATGGAAAAAATATCAAGAATAAAGAAAGCTGGAAATGCATTTTTTTGCAAATGCAGAGCACGCTGTAGGGTTACTACAGGCTAGGACAGCCCTGTAGGGTGATACGCCCATATCTCTCTCTCTCTCTCAATATAGATTTTTTTGTTGTCCATGAGTTTTTTTACAGGGATTTTGATAATTATTTTTTGATCATTAGAGATAAAGTGATGCTATTTGTTAGAGAATAATTCAAAAATGACGATTATAATAGTGAAATAACGATCAAAAATTGATTATAATTAACTTTTTAACTGTAACAAACAAGTTGTAAGTAAAATTCTTGAATATTTCTCTATCTCACGCATATTCACAGATGGGGAGTTGAATAAAGAGGAGTCTAATGGTGCAAAACTCCCTTTTTTTTTCTTTTTTTTTTTTGGGGGGAGAGAAGAAACTGATGCCTCTTTTGATGTGTGAGTGGGACTGTGAGTGGTGCCGTAATTGCTGTTTTCTCTTGTTACTGTACAGAAACTGATACATACATTTTACATACAATCATATATTTTTCTATCTCAGTTTCTCTCTCTTATTGCTTTGAGCTATTTTCTTTGTTTTTTCTTGCTCTATCACTGTTATTCCTCTGAAGTCTTTTAAGCATACGATCTGTGTGTTTCCTCTTCATTTTTCCTACTAGGAATATATATAGATTCAAATCTAACAGGTCTGTAGCTGATTTTATTCTAGGAATTTCTTTGATCTTTAAGGGTGGTTTCTTTATTTTTTTGCCTTCAAAAATCAGTGTTATGGGCTTTTCTTGGATTTTTATGCCTCTCTTTGTTCTCTTCATAAGATTTTGCGATGGTGGGTGTATTTGTTTATCGATTTTAAGCTGGGCTGTGTGTATTAATAAAGTTTTACCCCCAACTATTTTTTTGTGATCTTATGATCTATATTTCACTTAATTCTTGGCGTTTCTCTTCAAGTAGTTTTTGACAGAGTTTCGTTTATAGTCTTTCCTTCTGTATCATAGGAAAAAAAATCTGATCTATACATTGAAACTAGATTTTGCTTTATTCGTGACTACCATTCACACGGACTGACCATAGATTTGATTTCGGAGTCTGGATTCTTTACATTTCTTCTGAATCTTTTTCCACCGTGTAAAATATTTCACCGATTATTCTGATTTTGAGCCAGTCCGCACCATATGCATGTGTATCGGTGAGATTTCTTTGTGGGTTCATTCTGGGAATCTTTTTGATTCATCAGCTCGTCAACATATCATCTTGATTTTGCTCTCTTTGAGTTTGATTTTTCAATTGCGCAAGGTTCAGTTGTTTCCCGTCTTAAAAAGCTTAAGCAAATCTGTCTGCTTTCTCATGGTTCGCCCACATAAAATAACGATTCACGAGGGTCGATCCTTGCTTGTAGCCTTCTTTCTTTGCCAAATTTTGGTTCTTTCCTTGCTCAATCAGACTCTTCGAGAGAACTCTATTCATATATTAGATGCTTCAAGTTTACACCTTCCAAGCACATAAAATAACGTTCTTAAGAGGAGTCTAGAATCTTCTATTGCCCTTTGTATTTTGTGTGTCTGTGTTTTTTCCCCGGAGTTCCTGATCTAATGTTTTGGTATTCTTCTCTCTTCTTTGCAGGGTTGATGGATGGTTGAAGAAAAGGTACAATATTTAGGTGGGGTTGTTTGATTTTGATCTTAAGAGGTGGTATTAGTGGTGGTGGGGTTGGGGACCTTTGTTGAGAGAGGCCTTAGGCTACTGTTATGCTGAAGGGTAAGTATGATGAGATAAGGCCTTGTTTTGGAGATAAAATAAGTTCTTGTGACTGTTTCCTAGACAGCACAAGAAGGAAGAAAAAGGCTGTTGGCAGATGTTATCCATTGAAAACCCTCCACCAGATCCCCAGTGTCCTTGTGAAATCTCACAACTGAACAGCAGTGACAGTCATGAGAGGCCTTCTGATAATAAGCAGCAGCTTGGGTTAGATCTGTCCAGATTCTCCATAAGGTAATAATAAATGAGTGAAATTTTCATCTTTCTTAAATCTTCAAGTTTTTCACTTCATGTCACGCTATTTCTTGATTATTTCTTTGTTGGCCAGATCCCAGTTGCATATTTCTGATTTTGATTCATCCAAGTATGGGTTTGCCATCAAGCTTCATGTTTTTGTTTGTTTTTTTTAAATTAATTTTGGCCTAATGACCTTATTTTTAGCAGGTTTTTGGTCTTCATCTGGTCTTCCATGTCTTATAAAGTTGTTCTTCCAATTTTATTCATGACCACCGTTAGATGGTCAATTTTGACCGGCTATTCTTGGGTAATTAATAGCGGTCATTTCATGTTCCTCCCACTGGGAATCCAAATTCTTGCATATCTGTTTGTGATTAAATCCTCAGTCAAAAGCTGCCATTTTTCTGGGGTAGTCTTATCCTCATTGTACAGTTCATTTGCTAAAACAGGTGCTTAGCAGGATGGTTTTGTGACATTTGTAATTCATTTTATGCATTGGTGTTTCAATTGTCCCATTATTTTGTCCTGAATTTGTTGTTTATGTGATCTTATTAATATATCTCGATCTTAAATTTACTGCAGGGATTATGTTTTCAAAACCCGGAGCAAGGATATCAAGACTAATTGGCCATTTTCTCCGAAAAATTTGCAGCTTTGTTTGAAACATGGCGTGACCAATCTGTTGCCACCTTTTCAGTCTCTCGATTATGCAAGATACTCATCAACTGAAAAATGTGATGTTGGAAGCGTTACCAGTGACAAAGAAAGTATAAGCAATCCCGATGGGAAGCTCTCCTGTTCAAGTGATCATGCTGCGTCTGTCTCTTATAACAATATTGGGCATGGCCATAAGCTAAGTGCGGACTGTGGAGATATTAATGAAACTGGATCTCCAGAAGAGAGAGAATTTCCGTCAACCATAACGAGTCATTCCTGTTCTGAAAGAGATACAGTTCCCACGATACAAAGCACTTGTTTGGAAGCAGAAGGGAAAAAATTCGCAGGTCCTTTGACCGAGAAGCCAGTATCATCCAACAAGAGCGAAAATACGATCAAAGAAACTGTAAAGAAGTGCAGATTGATTGTGAAATTGAGCAACATTGCTGACCTAAGGTTGCAAGAAGATACGGGTGCAAACACTTCAGTGGTGTCAGAAACAATGGCTTCAAAAGTGTGCCCAGTATGCAAGAGCTTTTCATCTTCGTCTAACACCACTTTAAATGCCCACATTGATCAATGTCTTTCTGGGGAGTCAGCGATCAAGTGCACAGAAAATCCTAAGGTGATTAAGCATAGAATAAAGCCAAAAAAGTCAAGATTGATAGTAGATGTATATGCAACGGCCAAACACTTTACATTGGAGGATCTTGACAGAAGAAATGGTACAAACTGGGCCTCAAACATGGGTTTTCCAGCTCCAAATATGGAGATGTCTGTTGAAGAGAAGGATGAGACACCATCGCCTACTGATGTTGAGGACATCAATGATGATGCTGCAGTCTACATTGACTCCAATGGCACAAAACTTCGTATTCTATCAAAGTTCAATGTTCTGCAATCAAACTCAAATGCTGATGATGATTGTAGACCAAGGAAACTTGAGAAACGAGATAAAGAAAGCAAATTTTCATCGAGTAAGAAAAGAAATCTCATTAAGAAACACAAGCTCATGAAATGTGCTCCCCATGGCCAAAATAGCTGCTTTCCGAGGCACAATCAATGTCACGAGGTGTGTTACTTCAACTTCTTTACAACTTGTTTTTGACGGTGGCTGATTGCTTGTTTGCAATCAAATTTTTTTCAGCTTTGCCATTTACGGCATTTGTTCAGCTTTTGGATCTTCAGGATGTGTACCTTCGAAAGCACAAGATTTGGCACTAAATAGTTAGAATTAAGTCGTGTAATATATACCATATATTGATTAATTGGTGACTTTCCGTTGACGACTCGCATTTTCTTTCTTTCTTTCCCAGTTTTCTATCTAGCACAAAGGGTTCGTTTTCTGATTTTTGGTATTCTGTTGATATAATGTATATCATCTTGGGCAAAATGTGAATTAACCATGGATTGTTAACAGATTGACGATAGGGAACAAAGAAACATTTCTCCTGAAGAAAGTTGTGAGAAAGACGGATTCCTGACACAACCCTTGGAAACTCGTGATCAGATGAAACTAAATAATTTTGGGATGATGAGACAGTGGGTAGGCTCCAAGCGAACCGGTCTAATGAAAAAGATCAACGGTGGAAATCAGCATTCAGATAAAGCTGTTACCAAGGACTTGAGAGTAAAAAGCCATCAGTCTTCACTAGCTGACCCTTTTCTGAAGAGAACTAGTAGTTTGAGTTCGGCAATTTTATCTGATCAGAATCCACAATCACCTCCTGAAAGCAGCAAAAGACAGGAGAATTTGTCTCTTTTATCACATGATGGATGCAAGGATCCTTCTTCGAGAAAGAGGGCAGAAATTTCCTTGGCAGATTCTCAAAGCTGTCACAACGAAAAGAAGAAACGTCTTATGTTATCTAAGTGCAGCGTGAAGCAGTTGAGGAAAGATAGCCCATCCGTTCTTTATCGTACAATGGATCCTCCAAATTGTAGAGTGAATCATGTACCACCTCAGAGTAACAAGAGAAAAGAGGTGCTCAATCCTGCTAAAGATTCACGTAGTTCTTTTATCAACTCAAGATCGTCCCAACATCATGCATATTCATCTGGGGGTAAGAAATTTTCATCTTTAAGGAATATTTCCCTGGATCATGCATTCTCATCTAGAGGCAGAAAATTTTCGTCTTTGAGGAAGAATGAGTTGTCTGTCAGCGAAGCTTCTATTCCTGATCAGTATAGGAAAAAATTGAGGAGAAAATTTTTGGACCTGAAGAAGCCTTGGGTGCATTACATGTCAGGATCAGATGAAGAAGCCCTGGCACCCCAATCCACAATTGTTAGGCGACATCACATGGTAGATCAATGTAAAAATTCTACTCAGTTAGAACCAACTGATGAGCTATTTGTTGATGGAACTAGGGTCTTGAAAATTCGAAAGAAGAGAGAGGCACTTATGGTCTGTAGGAAGGAGGAAACCAGGCCTTTGAAAAGATCACAGCACTCTAGCCAGGTTGGGAAGAAGATTGATTCTTTTACTAGTGAAAGTGTTCCACCTCTTACACCCGATGACATGAAATCTTCTGGAAAAGAGGTTGAGATTTCGGACGACATTGTGTGTGAGCCAATCCCTGACATGGCTGATGGGGGAACTTTTATGGTTTTTAGCAAATCATTGGATCCTGCATTCCCTGTGCTTGCGGGTACTTCTAATGTGCAAGGTCTGTCACAGCAGTATCTTGAAGCAAACAAGGAACCTTTTCTAGATAAGCCAATATTGGGAGGTGAAGAGATGTTTTGTGGGGATGAAGTGGGGAAACTTATCATCACTCACAATGTCCACACGGTGGCAGAGTTGGATACTAATGAAGAACCAGGAAATTACTTTGAGGATGTTGATCCGATACCTATTCCTGGACCACCTGGATCCTTTTTGCCTAGTCCTGGGCATATGGGCTCAGAAGATCTTCATGGAAATTCATCATTAACTACCTGCAGGGTTCAATCTTCTGAAGATGAGCATGAATTAATTGATATGGATTCATCAGATTCTCCTGTTTCTGCCGTCTCAGCTATATGCAACTCCATCGCTACAAGATCTTATTCTGTATCCTTGGAGAAGTCTTTAGAACCTGATCATGGTGTTCAACCTGAGACTAGATCTAGCTTCTCCCGTGCTAGCATTGATCCTGTGGTTGAAAGTTCCAGTCCTTTTGAGCAGGCAGCAAGTGCAGGAGAAGGAAACCTCAACCTGGATCAGTCAAGGACTGATTTGATGTTTGCCGAATCGAGTCCTCCCAGATTCAAAAACAGTCGGCCATGCTGTTGCTCTAGGAAGGAGGGAGCTTTATCGGGTGTTGCTTTAAACAATCAAGAATCACAACTTTCACGGAGGAGAACTATGTCTTCACTTGCACTTCCTGCCGTAGAAAAGCAAATGGGTGGTTTTGCAAAGAGAACGTGTGAAAGTCTCAACTCGAGGTCAGAAATATTCTCTATGAGCAAGTCAAGTTCAGAACCCGAAGAAAATATTGCAAAATCATCCGCAGGGCATATGCCTATGCAGTTTATAAATTCTGAGGTTAAGTCCCCAACCTGTGATGATTACGAGTCTGCTACACCTTCTATTTCTACTCCCGTTCTTAGACTCATGGGAAAAAACTTGGTGGTAAACAAAGACAAAGATGTGTGTGCTGAAACAGGGCCTGCCCCCTCAAGTATCATGAATGACCATGTACATCCATTATCTAGGGTTGATAATGGTGTAACGTCTAAGAAGATTCACAATGAGGACCATTCATTGCGTCATCATACGGTTTCTCAAGTTCCCATCACCTTTGACCATTTGCATTTTGATGTCAGTTCGTCAAATGGTTCTGTAAACCACAGCAATCGCCGGACACAACTATTGTCTCCTCGTCCATTGATGCCCATGCTTTCAAATAAGAATATTGGTTGGAGTTTCCCATCATCGATGGGGTGTCGTGAATGCAAGGGCGGGTGCAACTTGACCCATGAACAAGTGGGATCCAGGATTAGAGTGGGTACTCCAATAACCGATGATAACGAGAAAGTGCGTACTTCTTCTGTCACCAATCAGAGTGTAGATCCTTGCTGCAGGGCCAGAACAGAAATAATTGTTATTGATGATGCACCAGAGAGTGAAGCTGTTTCCGTAATTAAATCAACATGTAATGAGGGAAATACGAAAGTTGGGGGATCCACAGTTGGGATTCTGGCATCAATGGGAGATTCAAGGCATCTGAATCCTCTATATCATCATCTACCACAGGGATACTCTTTGTGTCGTGGATCTCCAATTGTTCAGAGTGCAAGTTTTCAAGTGCCAACCTCCAAGGTAACGAGTGCAAGTCCAGTTAAATGGAATGGCACCCCTGGGGGTTCAAGTGCATTGCATTCAAATTCGATAACAGCTTCATCAACCTGCAAAGATCACGTTAGTTCTACGCTGTATTCTTCCCCTCACTTTTCATGATCAACAGGTATTACTTGGCAGGGGTCACTGCACGTACTGGGATTTGCATCGAGAATATTCTGGGACATCTCTACGTGTTCCCGGCCAAATGACTGCCAAAACATGGGTGCTCAAAGTCGAATCAAATGACATACATAAAATATAGTCTGACAAAGGAGAACAAGCATAAGTTGCGCAGATGAGTTTTAAATTTAGTTTCCCTTGTTAACCTTTCTACTTATACTTCAATATAGAAGCACTGTAAGTATGATAGTTTTAAAACCGTTTTTAAGGCTTTTTTCTTATATAAGCGCAAAAACTTACCTGGAGGCTTCAACAACGAGTTACCATTATGCTTGGAAATTTGATTTCTTAGCGACTTAAAGCTTAGAAACCTCGGCATTTAGAATTGTCGTTGAGCTTGTCTTTATAGATAATGAACTTGGGATTAGCATTCTTCTTTACAGGTTGACATTTGCATGAGATAATGCCTGTTACCTGTTGCATGCTGCATGCATAGATTTTCTTGATATGTTTAGCATTCACTCATTTTAGCATCATCACATGCATGTTTGCGCAGCTGTCGAGACATAAGAACAGTAACCTTTATCGGCATTTCTTCCTTCTTTCTTCTTGGAATCCATATTGATGAATTGCATTCTGTTATTGCATGTAATGAAATGGATGCCAATCAACATATAAATTTTCCTTAGGATAGTCGAGTGTCCTTGTGATATGTTTTTATAGCTCGTTATGAACTTGAGTTTTGTCAAATCCTGGTTAAATATATATATATATATATCTTTTAATGAGCTTTAAATTTATTGGAATAATGAATGGTGGTGGACTAGTGGTTGAATGTGGCCTAAAGAGAAGGTGAAACGACGCTTTGCCTTTGCATGAAATATAGCCGTTACGACATATTATTCGACTTGGTACCATCAAAATTTGTGGGTGTGTGTGAGAGAGAGAGAGAGAGAGAGAGAGTGTGTGTGTCTCGTGGAAAAGATGCGTATAAGACACCAAAAGATGGCCGATTGACATTTGACCGTTAGTTGGCACCATCTAACACCTCCTTTTCTTAAAAAAAAAAAAAAAAAAAAAAAAAAAAAAAAAAAAAAAAAAAAAATTAGTATAATAATAATAATTTAGTTGACGTGGTTTGCAAGTTATTGCGTCAGTTCAAAAGTTTATCCAATGCACATTCAAAGCGTTTGTTTCTCATTCTTTCTCCATTAAAATAAAAAATGTGATCGTTATCTATCACATCAAGCCACCAAATTTGAATTTCTATCTCTTGTGTGAGGTCGATAATGATTATATTTTTCATTATCATTTTTAAATATTCTGTGATACTTTTTCTCTATTCTTGATATTTTTGTATCTCGTCAGATATTTTTGTTATGCATAATACTATTTATGTTTAGTGATATTAAATATTAGTTAACGGGACACTAATATTCATTGTCTACTGTTTATTAAAATAATAGTAAATATTTTTAACACCAATCAATACCTACTTTTTGAAAAAAAATAAATAATAATAATAATAAAAAACTAATATTGCTAGCTTTACTTTAAGCATTAGTCTATATGGTATCAAGATTCATTGGCTACTACTGATTAACATGAATAAGTTACAATTTTTAATCAATTACAAGTAATGTATCCAACGTCATATACATTGATGTTCATGGACAGATTCGAGTTTGAATTCAAGATCGGGTTAATACGTCAAAAAAAAAAAATTTACTCATTAAAAATCTGTTTTTACAAAATAAAAAAAAATTACCCTAAAAAAAATTTAATTGGACCAGACAGCCCAGCAAGTCCCCTCCTAAATCTGTCAATCAACACTCAGATTATTCTTTTGGTAATCAAAATATCAATGTTGCCCACATGTTTTCATATTTTAGTGCTTTTTTGTTCTGATTTTTCTGCTCAAAAAATTATTTTTTTAATCGTTATTTTCTTAAATCAATCATCATTTTTGACTTCTTTTTTCACAGATGAGATTCACTTTTTTTTTCTAACTATTAAAAATCAATTCTTATAATTACTATTGAACAAGCCATCAATTCCATCTCCTTCGTATTATTTGGTCACTTATTGTGGACGGTGAACTTTAATATTACCTAAATTGATGCTAAGTAATAATAAAGTTACGTAGCATTATGTCCCTCAGGGCATAATTCAGTGGTGCAAAGGACAGAAGTGAGGTTATCTTACGCCTTGCTGACAGCCGTAGTATGGGGGTTCGATTCTTGAGACATGTAATTGGACTCATTGTAGGTGCATTGTACAGGCAGCTCTTGTTCCTTAACCTGTTGGGACATATTTCACGATTTACCTTCCTCTCAAAACTTTAGAGACGAGACGGTGGAAGTTCTTAAGGCTGGGGTTTAACTTTTTTTTTTTAAGTTACGTAGCATTATTCTATATATCTATCCTAGTCAGTAGTCACGTATTGAAATAAATGCTGATGGAACGTGTATGGTGAAGTTTGAAAAATGCTCCAAAATGGGCCATCCTTTGTCCCTTCCCATTGTTATGCTATCTTTTCAACAGAACCTGAACATTAAAATAATCAATACTTCTTGTCACTGTTTGATGAAAGGCAAACCTGTAATATTTCATAATTTTGGTAATTACCCCACTACTATTGTAATTGTGAAGTCACACCCTTACTTTATTTTGTATATTTCTAGCATCCCACAAAAATAGAAAGAAAGAAAGAAAATGTTATTCCCTACTTTGTGTACACGATGCATTTTGATAGATGATTATGTTGAATGTGTGACCTTGGGCCCGGTCCACTGGATTCATCTTGGCCCCTTTTACTCCCCATTTCAAAATCTTAGCCAAATCCATGCACTCCTATCTTTTGTACTCATTCTATCCCATTCCGATAGTTGAATTGCTCATTGAAGTGCAAACGGTCAATGAATATTTTTTGGACTGATGATCTTTGCACCAAATAGTGTGTTTTAGTGTGTAGATAATGCTAGAGTGGACGAGGAGTTAGCCACTTATCTTGTCGAATTTCGAGGTGAACGGTAAGGAACTAGAGTGAAGAGTTGAAATTTTCGAGGCGGACGGAGTTTTCTTGTATGGTAGGGCCTCCAATAGTCATGATTTTCCTAGTCAAAATACAGAACAAAATCATACTAGGAAATAAATTTTCCTATCATAAATTAAATTTATTTTGAAATCTTGCAAAATAAAAGAGAGTAAACAAAATCAAAGTAGTTTGATGTTAAAATATTTTAAATTGATTATATTAATTAGATATTATTATTCTTATCACTTGACTCGCTACTTCGACTCGCCAACTCGGATCCCATGTGTTTCCCGTCTTCCATTTCTGTCCTCGTGGGCCCCTTCATCTCCACAACTGTCCACGTTCGGTTCTGCATAATCCATACAATTAACCAATTATCGCAGCAATTAATCTTCAAAAATCAAAAACCAGTCAAATCAACAAATTTTACAGGTTTAATGAAGAATATGTAAGGATAATTCTATGTGTACATGTAAATTTCCAAATCCACCCATCATCTAGGCTACTGTTTTCTTCACACTACTTCTCAAAATTCAACGCTCATTTATGGAGCCCAAGGTACGCTCAATTCCTCTATTTTTTTAATAGCATTTATTTTTGTCGTTTTCCAGTTCATTATTGAAGAAATTAATTCCGTGAATTGGGATTTGATATCACCGGAAAGTAATTCATTTTCCTCTGGAGAATTTTCTTTATATTCGAGTATCTCATGAGCTGGAATGATGGTTACTTGGTCTCGATTTTGATCTGAATATTTAGCTCGAAGGGTTTACACAATTAAATTTGCTGAATTTTGACGGTTAATGGATTTGGAAAGAAAATTATAGGTGCTTGCACCCCTGGAAGTTAATAAAGCAATTGCTACCATAGCTGCCTCTGAAAGAAAGAGTATTAGTGATGTGAAAAAAAGGTTCATAGCAGTGGGTATTGCGTGGTGAAAAATAATGAGTTATCTTTCTGAAAAGGAATTGAAGTTAGATAATCAATAAATTTGCCTCCTTTGGAGGTGCAACAGGAAGTATCTCCTTCCCCTTTACTGAGGAAAGAGCGTGTCTTGAAGACATGGAGAAGGATCAAGAAGGAAGTAAATAAGGGTGCTGATAATTGTGTTGATACTGGCAGGATAACGACACTGGTTTTTGGTATTCAGTGTCGAATTCCTGTAAAGGATGCAATTTTTTACTGAGAGGAAGCAAAATAATGAGGGGTCTGTGTCACCTGTAAGTGGGGGTTTTAGTGATTCTGGGTCAATGATTGGTCCAACCTTTACTGATTTTGAATGGATTCTCAAAATTGCAATAATCAAATTAGCAAGTCATCCACAGCATCCAGCACACCATGGATAAGGTACGAGCTTCCTGTTGTTGCATGAGTTCTGCTCAATAAGAGCCAGACAGGTGAATCGAAGTGGAAGAAAGGAAATGGTCAGTTTGAGACTGTTAAGATGGCTAGGAAAGCAGGTCAAAATCGAGAAGAAAAACTCTCATTCCAGCCTGGAATCTGACTCTCGAACCTCCAATTTTGCAATTATGCAGGCAAATGACTCTGCAAGTAACAGAGTTCAAAGTGGAGAGTCGTTGAATTATGATGGAGAAAACTATGATGAACTTCATGCCGGTGTTGATCCTCTAGTTGAACATATTTATACACTCCAATCAGCACAAGAAGCACTAGGAAAAGGTCTATTCGTTTTCTTAAATTGCACAATTTGATAATTATCCTAGTTTGAATAGTTATTACTTTTATATCCTGTACTTTGTGATCTTCTACAGGTAGATAAGAGCACATCTCTGGTAATAGGTACAAATGGCTAATGAAAAGCTTCATCCCCTTCTCTTCTTCTTCTTCTTCTTCTTCTTCTTATTATTATTTATTTATTTATTTAAATTTTTTTTTGTGCTTAAAATTATTATAATGCTTCTTTTGTTAGTCTAGTTATTCCCTGAATGTACATTAATATTAATATCAACTCACACAAACGCGCATGCATATTCCAAAAACTTTGTTCACATTTATAACCTTTTGGCGATGGTTGTGCTCCACAATATGGGAGATTAAGCCTGAGTCAAATCATGTGTTTAAGTAATATGCTTTTAAATTGGTCAAATTGACATGTGTTCTTGTATTAGAAATATAATATAGAGGTTGAAGTTATTGCATTTTTTTCTATATTCGGGGAAGGGTGTGTCTTTTGATCTATATGACTGTGATCCCCAAGGGTGAAAAGAAAGAAGGCCAAGGCTCTTGGTTGGGGACCATGATACAGATGACCAAAAGCATTCTCTTTGGATCATTTAAAGCAGACTAACATTGCTGGTTGCCAATAATCAGAATATTTGTATTTCTTCCTTTTGAGGTGTTCAAAGATGCTGTATGTATACATTTGTACTTTTGTAACTCTTACATCCCGAGATAACAAGTCAAGTAAAACTAGAAGAAAAATGTACTGAAAATCAAGAGGAAGTAGAAGGTAATTTAGAATTTTTTGCTGCAGTATATGGCGTTCAATCTAGAGCAGAACCGACTGAAAAACTTTACTTCTTTGAGTATACAAGAGAACTATTTAGTCTGGAAATTACTACAACTGTAAATATAGCGCCATAGCCTTTATCAACACAGTGAACAAATTTGGAAGAACATTGATATTGTTGAGTTTTTTTTTTTTTTTTTTTTGGTCCAACTTGGGCGGCAGAATTTATTACATGATTTGGAAACTCTTCTGAGTTACTACGCCAACACTAGAATGTGTCTGAGTATTTCAGCCAGCTGCAAACTTTTCTACTGTTTCTTGTTGACTCATCAAGTTTCTTAGGTCTTACCCTTTAGACTTTTTGCCTATCACGTAAGTAAAAATGTACACCTGAAAAGTAAAATCTGAAGACTATAATAAATGTGCAATCCTTGGATTAAATATTTGCCATCACTTAATTGGTGAATGTAAGTCATTGCTTGTCGAATGTTACAATTTTTATTTTGTATCGAGCATTTCTAACATGAAGAGGGGACACTGTCAGTGCCATTGTTGCTGCATTGGTTTCTAATTGGACATCTTCATAACTTTTTTCATAGCACAGTTGCACATGCCTTTTTCCTTTGTTTCTGTAGCTTTGTCTGTGTAGTTTTATTTTGGTGGTTCAGGATTTGAAATCAGAATATGCAAGACATGTATTAAGTAGTGCATTTTACTTCATTTACCATGACTTTTGAAAATCTTTGCATCCTGTGGAGAAACTAGTTGCTACTTTTGTTCGCATGATATAGATTAGTGGAGTTCCTTTACAATGTTTCAAGATTGATTGTGTGTTCATTTTCATTCTTGATATGTCTTTTGCTAAAATGTGTTGGTATATCTCTGCAGAGGTACTGAAGTTTCGGGAAGTTGGAATTTTATTAGATGTTTCAGTTGATGGTGCAGTTCAGGACTCACCTTCGGAGCTCATTTCCATCGATCTGAAACTCCAGGATACTAGCTCCTCCAAGCAAATACAATCTGACAAGAATATGCATAGTTCTTTCTATTCCTTGCACTCTGAGGCTATAGAAGCAGTGAACAGAAAATACATGGGAACAGAACTTGAGGACCTCTTTAGGCTGAAAATTGAAGCTGAAGTTGAATATTTGGCAATATCAAGAACTACCCAAAAGTATAGAGGTGCTGTGAAGGATAAAATATCTCTGGCTTCAGAGCAATTCCTGAAGCTGAACAGGCTTGAGAATACAAAAAACAAGGCCTCAATGCTTGAAAAAGAAGCCGAGAAGTTGGTGAATTCTTGTGAAGATATTGCAAGTGCTGAAAAGACATTGAAACTGCAGATGAGGCTATGCAAGTACGCCTCATATTTCTTAATACAGTTAGTAATATTGTTACTCATCCTGGGATTCTTTATTTTCGATATTTCTCCAAATTATGATGGGGTTGTTCCCACTTAGTTCTAAGAAGAGTTTCTGGGTCGTTCTTTTCTCTTTCATTAGTTTATAATGTTCTAAATCTAGTGTGAGTATTTACTAGTTCTTTCCAGAGGTAGATTACAGATCAAACATGAGCGTTGGCTGTTTTTATTAGTTAATTTACATGGTAGCTGGTTGTGCAGTACTGGTTTGCTAAACTCAATTTTGAATTCTATAATTATTTTTTGTGGGTCTCATTTGCACTAGGGTGAATATAATATTGAGAATAACTCGAATTGGTTGATTATTCGGGCATAAAAAATGTCTGTATGCACGAGTGGTAGATATTTAGTTCGATGGTAGAGTTATTGCACGTGACGGAGCGATGGTTCCCTAGGAGAATTAGAAATGTCTCTCTGCTTATATGCAATGATATATTAGTAGGCATTGTAATATTCTACATGCATTTTCGAGATTCAATTTGGCTTTGTATGACTTGCATGCCAGACAAAAGTGTAAAATTTCTTTGCAAGTCCCTCCTTGATTCAATTGTTGATTGCGTGTTATGTCGAGACATTGAGTTGATAAATCTTTCGGAGTCTAAGCTATTAGTTTTGATCTTGGTACTTGCCGTGGCTCGAGTTTTGGCCTTCAAACTCGACCTTCAGTAGCATAAGTTGGTGGTTTGTACATCATTAAATATTATGGCTGACTATAGTAAATCTTGTCTTGTTTGATCTAATTGAAATATATCTAAATTTTTAGGATTTTGCTGTGTGTACAAGGAAGGGTTTCACATAACCCCTCCAGAAGTAGGTGGGCCCCACCTCGTAAAAAATTCAACCCCCAATTGTGGGTTCCGTGAACTCCCTCCCTGTACACACGGCAAAATCCAAATTTTTATTACAAACTTGACTTGTCTTTTGCATTGACTGGCTTGATTTACCACATCCATTGTCTTGGGAAGTGTAACAACTCTTATTTGTAGCTTTATTTTCTCCATAATCTTGCTTAATTTCACCAAGGTGTTACAATGTATATAATTCTAATAGAAATAAGGGTCTATTTAACGGGAGGTTTTACTTATGCTTCTTGTAAAAAAAATTTCTAAGAAAACTACTTTAAGCAAACTTCTTCTAAAAGTTATATTACTCAAATAAAATGCTTTTAAAAAAATTATCTAAACATGTTCAAAAGTAATTTTAAAAGTCAAAAGCCCGGCCAAATGGGCTATGTATAGAAAGTCAAAAGCATAGGTTTGCTTTAGCTCTTGTTTGGCTCTCATTAATTTTCATTCTATTATATTTCATTTTTTTCTTCTATTTTCAACTACACAGTCTTCCATAAAATAATATTACACGTCAATTGAAATTTTTTAATTTTTTTTTTCAATCACTCATTTTTCTTTTTTTAAATACTATTTCACTCATTTTCATTTCCACAAAATTGAGGCCAAACGGGGCTTAGTCACAATGATGTGTAGAAAGTAGTTGGGATTTCTCTATTCACTTACTTCCAACCTCCGATTCTACAGTACTCAACATCAACTTCACACACACACATGTCAAATATTAGTATGCATCAATAAATGAGACGTTCTAAGACTTGCTTCAAGAGTATACACGAATTGAAAATTATTTATTAGCTATTTATACCGACGAAAGCTCGAGCAAACACACGTACCATGTGTGTGTCACATGTACCGATTTGTAAGTTAATGAATTAGAAGAAAGCCAACATAGTTTCAAAGAAATGAATTTGCATTATACTTTTCATAAAGAAGTTTCAACTTTATATGGTTTCATATTTAAAATTAACGCAAAGAGGATGCATTGAGACCTTTTCCAACGACCCCACACGTAGATGAATTATATGTGGAATGTACTCCCAATTCCACACCTGGCATAATTATAATGCCCTTGTTTGAGCCCCATTTTTGGGGAGAAAATGAATTTTTGAATAGTGTATTGATAGGAAATGTGTGGTTAAAAAATAAGTAAAAGTTTTTAATTTTCGTGTAATATTATTTTATTGAAGAACGTGTGGTTGAAATGATGTCAAAATACTGTTTAAAAATGTATTTCTTCGGAAAGAATGTGACTCGACAAGGGCAATAACTCATAATGAGAAATTATAAAATGTACGTTTCTTAAGAAACTTTTTTCACTTTTTATTAAAACATCAATATATCAATTATTTTTGAAGAGATGACAAGCATGATGAACAAAATGTCCCCAAGACTTAAGTTGACAAGGGTATTATGTGTTAGCAGCCTCTATACGCTCATGAAAGACAATATCGAGAACCATGGTCCCATGATTGAATCGACCTAAATCAAAAACATTAGCAAGAAGCAAAAATCTGCATCGATTAACAAGATCTTAGCTAATAAGCTAATTATAAGTCAAAAGTATCAAGAATCAAGTTCAATTGACTGAAGGAAATTACAAGAACAAGATGCATAACCTTAATTATTCACTACAAGTTAAGACTCTATACCAGCTTCATCTTTAGATGGAGGAACCTCATTGAGATCGAAATCGAGCACTCTCCAGCATATATTGCTAGCTTCACTTTCTTTAGCTTCATCTGCCAATTGGACAATGGGATTGGAAATTTCGTCGACCCAAATCTTGATATTTTTGTGGGTTGATCTATAGCCACCCAGTTCTTGGTGTGTTGTGAAGGACTTGTCACAAGTATTGAAACGGTACTTATCAGGCTGCAGTGCCAACTTTGAACTACCATTTCGTACCAGTTCCAAATCACTCAATTTCACCCTTTTCCTTCTCTTCTTGTTCTTGATTGTCACATTCCCATAATTAGTCTCTAAATACATCTTCTTGTCATCTAAGCAATCATTATGCTCGAATTCTATTATGGGTTTTTCAAGGATATGCCCAGTTCTTGAATCACCTATCTCTGTGATACTTTTCACCTGTAAATATTCAAGATTTTCAAAGTTGGAGGAGCTCAATTCCTCAACTATTTGCTTCTTCGATTTAGAAATAATAATGTCGTCAACCTTTTGCCTATTTATTAGGGTACTTTCGAATGGACCCCCATGAGCAAGCATCATAAGATCATTAACAGCATCCCACAATTGATCATCCTCCAAGCTTGAAATCTCTGAGATTGATGCCACCGTCACCCTGCGGCCTCTCTTGGCAGTCACTGACCAACCCTTCAATGATTTTGTCAAATCAACCTGATCATCTATTTTTTGAATTTCAGCATCAGATGAAGAAGATGACTGCGAGCTGTTTCTTGCCATTGCAGGGGGCTGAATTCCCCTCCAATCCCTCTCTGGATGGCACCTCATGTGCCCAAACAGTGATTTCTGTGAAGGAAAATCTTTACCACAAATTTTACAACTTTGTTTCTTATTGTTTCCCTCGAACTTCTTCTTCACAAAATCAATAACTCTATCCTCATCTTCAGGCAGATACCGCTTTTTCTTGTACTTGACGGATTTATGGGCTTTGAGCTTCTTGTTGAAAACCAGATCTTTGTTGGCTTGAAAGTGAATTCTCGTGTGACCTCCTAAAGCTTTACCTGAACTAAACACTTTGTCACAAAACCGACAAACCCTTTTATTATTATACATCTGATCCTTCTCTTGAAAGCCATAATTCTGATCTTCCTTAGTTCTTTCCTCTTCATTTTTTGAAATTTTCAACTTAATCCACATATTCTCTTCTCCAAAAAGAGGCCCGCATACCTGGGATTTGTGATCATTATTCTTGATTGACTGTGACTGAATATCTTGATCATCCACCATTGAGAAGAACACAAGAACAACCCCACCTCGGCTGAGGGCGTGTTTTCCACTGCAGTGTGTGTATATATTATAAAAGAAAAAGGGAAAGGTGGCAAATGAACTGCGGAGTAGTTGCGAGACAGTGATGGCTGAAATTTGCTGAGAGAAAAATACTAGAAATGGCTCAAAAGAAAATTCTGAAGAACTGAACAAACAGAAATAACCCTAAACAAAACACAAATAGAAAGAGACGTGAAACGAATTTGTAGCAGATTTTATATATCAAAGACTTAGAGAAGATGAACACAGTTTCCCAGCTGAAAAAAGATTACTCTATGACGATTCTTCTGTCTAGGAAAAAAGCTCATATATGTGCGTATAATGCATGTCATCCACAAGACGCGTTTACATTGAGAGCCCACGTCAAGATCAGTGACGAGAATGAAGAAAAAGGAAATAAGAAAAGAAAAATAAAAACAGAAATGAAAGGGCAATTTCTTAACTGCTGTGTGGAAATTGACTGTCACGTTCTTCTACCCATTCACCTTTTTTGGAATCTATCTCCAAAGATATGCATGAACCCATAAAAAAAGTTAGTGTTGACCCTGGAAAATGAACTTCCATGGGGACAACAAAGAGCGATTCGCTCGTGACCAATCCCGACGATGGTGGTTGTGGCCACAAACACTCTGGCGATCAAGTAAGTGATTGTAATTGTTCACAATTGATTCCGGTAGCTTTATGTTATCTCAAGGGAGAGGAGAAATTGTTGTTACTAAAAATAATGAAGTTACCATACAAAGGCTTAGAGCGCAAGTATTTATAGAGAAAAAGGTGGAAGAACCCTTAGATGGAGAACAAGTGACATCATATGGTGGTCCGAAGTGTCTCTTTATAAACGTCCATCTATCACTTTGTAGGTGGACAAACCTTTATAGCCTGTTTGGAAGAGATTTTTTACACAAAAAAATTGATTTTTTGACCGTTATTTCAGTCATAATTTTTGACTTCTTCTCTCACAAGTGGACCCACTTTTCTTCTAACGGTCAAAAAATCGATTCTCAAAATCCCTCCCAAACCCGACCTTAATTTTTCTGGATTCGAATTGACACATTGCGTCTACTGCAGAAATATTACAACCATCATTCATAAGATTTTATTTTTGGATAGATGCTCGCTAAAAGATATGTATCTTATGCCGAAGCATGGACTCTAACCAACAAGCCTATGTTCTAGGCGATGCGGCTCGGCTTTGTTTATGCCGATGCTATCCAATTCGGATTCTTGCCTCGCTTTATGCTGGTACACTGCTTAGGCACTTCGGTGCCTCAAAGCGTTGCTTGTGTTGGTGACCTGGCGAATCGCTACAAGAAGTGTAAATGTTGGGATTGTAGGTAAAAAAAAATAAAAAAAATAAATTCCTTTTTCCTTTCTAATTTGACTAATAAACAAGCATCACAATATTTGTTAGGACTTTTTGTCAATTTTTTATTG